GACCATTAGGCAGGATCAAACAGCCGTCGACTGGATGAGTCTGTTTGAAGGAAAAGGAATGACTAGCAAATGGGAAGATTTTAAAAGTGTGATATCAAGAGTCCAGGGAAGGGAAAAGTTGGCAGGTTTAGGAACCCCTGGCTGACAAGGGATATTAAGGCTCTGGTCAGGAAAAAGGAGGCATACACTGGGTTTAAGCTATCGTGCTCAAGTGAATCTCTAGATGACTATAAAATGTGTAGGAGCACACTTAAGGGGGAGATGAGAAGAGCAAAAAGAGGGTATGAGATAGATCTGGCAGATAAGGTTAAAGATAATCCCAGGAGGTTCTATAGCCATTTTAAAGAGTAAAGGGTGGCTAAAGAGGGAACAGGTCCCCTTAAAGATCAGCACAGCCGTCTATGTGTGAAGGCACAGGAGATGGGGGAGATTTTTAACGAATATTTCTCCTCAGTGTTTACCAAGGAGAGAATCATGGATGCTAAAGAAATAAGGGAAACAAGTGGGGATGTTTTGGACTGCATATATATTGCCAGACAGGAGGCATTTGCAGCCTTAAAGAGCATTAAGGTGGATAAATCCCCCGGGCCTGATCAAGTCCGTCCTCAGACGTTGTGGGAGACGCGGAAAGAAATTGCACAGGCCCTTAAAGAGATTTTTGCTTCATCTTTAGCCACTGGTGAAGTTCCGGAAGACTGGTTCCATTGTTGTTCCATTGCTTAAGAAAGGTAGCAAAGACAGGCCAGGGAGCCTGACATCAGTGGTAGGCAGGTTATTGGGGAATATCAACCTATATTTGGATAGTTAAGGTCTGATTAGGGATAGTCAGCATTGATTTGTGCGCAGGAAGTCATGTCTAATAAAGCTTTTAGAGTTTTTCGAAAAGGGAACCAAGAGAATAGATGAGGGTAGGGCAATGGATGTAGTAAACGTGAACTTTAGTAAGGCCTCTGAAAAGATCCCACACGGCAGGCTAACCCTGAAAATTCGGTCGCATGGGATCCAGGGAGAGCTAGCCAACTGGATTCAAAATTGGCCCGATGGTAGGAAGCAGAGGGTGATGGTTGAAGGTTGTTTCTCGGACTGGAGGCCTGTGACTAGTGGTGTGTCACAGTGCTGGGACCTTTGTTATTTGTTATCTACATAAATGATCTGGATGTGTATGCATAAGGCATGATTAGAAAATTTGCGGATGCAAAATTAGGAGGTATCGTTGATAGCGCAGAAGGTTATCAAAAATTAGAGGGATCTTGATCAGATGGGGAAGTGGACTGAGGATGGGCAAATGCAATTCAATACAGATAGGTGTGAGGTGTTGCAATCTGGAAAGTCAAACCAAGGTATAACTTATAAAATAAACGGTAAAGTCCTGAGGAGTGTTGTGGGACAGACGAACCTAGGAGTACAAGTACATAGCTCGTTGAAAGCAGCATCACTGGTGGACAGGGTGGTGAAGAAGGCATTTAGCATGCTGGCCTTCATCGGTTGAAGCACTGAGTATAGGATGTTACATTACAGTTATTTAAGTCATTGGTGAGGCCGCATTTGGAGTATTATGTGCAATTTTGGTCACCATGTTATAGGAAAGACATAGTTAAACTGGAAAGTGTGCAAAGAAGATTTGCGAGGATGTTGCCAGGACTAGTAGCCTGAGTTACAGAGGGAGGCTGGCCAGGATAGGACTTTATTCCTTGGAACAGAAGAGAATGAGGGGTGACCTTATTGAGGTGTATAAAATCATGAGGGGCATAGATAGAATATATGCATTCATCCTTTTTCCCAGGGATGGGAAATTGAAATCTAGAGGGCATAGGTTTAGGGTGAGGGGGGAAAAGATTTAACAAGGACCTGACAGGCAACTTTGTCACACAGAGAGTGGTGTGTATATGGAATGGGTTGACAGAGAAAGTGGTGAGGCAGGTGCAATAGCAACATTCAAGAAACATTTGGATAGACACATGGATGGGAAGGATTTAGAGGGATATGGACCAAATGTGGGCAATTGGAACTAGCCAAGTGGGCACCATAGTCACCATGGACCAGTTTGGGCTGAAGGGCCTTTTTCCTATGCTGTATTACTCTATGACTGTACACTATGACGATATATAGGTTCAAGTACCACCTTTGGATAGGATGGCCACAGAGCTGTGTCAAATTACCTTTATAAATAGGTCGACTAAATTAAAGGTTGAACAGGTGGGACTGTTAGGTGGAAGTAGCTGTAAGAATAGCCAATAAAATCTATCCACAAAGAAGAGTGCCTTGGCTTTCTGTCTCACCAACTGGCTTAGATCCAAATTGATACAAATGGGCTGTTTTGACCTATTTGAGCATATGTAATCCTATACGTGTCTTCAATTAATTGCTTATCCTGCTTGGGAACATCATTGTTGCTCTGTGCCAGAAATCCCTCAACTAGATTCAGATTGACATCAGAAAAGAGGAAACCTACAGCAAAGATTAGCGGATGTTTGCGGGTAGCTCTCAAGGATAGCAACAAATGCCACTTTACCACTAACTACAAAGTTCAGTAATTAATTATCTCTGTGGCATTCAACATTTGTGAAATATATTTTCTGTAAAATAGGTTCACTATTTCAGACAAGTAGTAACAGTTTCATTAAAACAGTACAATTTTTAGGAGGAAATTATAAATAAGGAATAACACATTGGGAAAAAAGAATAGAACTGATACACTATTGAATTAGAGAGAAAAAAAACTGCAGATGCTGGAATCCAAGGTCGGCAAACAGGATGCTCGAAGAACACAGCAAGCCAGGCAGCATCTGGAGGAAAGAAGCAGTCAACGTTTCGGCTATTAACCATCTTCAGTCCTGAAGAAGGGTAATACCCGAAATGTTGACTGCTCCTTTCCTCCTAATGCTGACTGGCTTGCTGTGTTCTTCCAGCCACCTGTTTGTCTACACTAGTGAATTGCTTGCCAAATACTTCTCTTGAATTTCCACTGTGCAAGTGTTTTTCTCAGCACGACAAAGGGAAAATCTTAGCCGAATGCCAAGCAAATATGGATCCATTAACAGGAATTGTTTGCAATTCCACTAGAAGGAAACAACAAAAACAGCAGGTCATATCTTCCAATATACCATATTGCCAGAATTTCAATCTGCCACTAAAACACTGGCAGTCCAATTTCTTGAACTACAAAGACATGAAGGAATTAAAAAGTTGACTTTAAAAAAGTAAAATTACATTGTCTGTGTTGCTTCAGAACAATATCATTTTGTTTAAAAGAAACACAGACACAGGCTTGTGTAGTATTGGCACTGTCGGGTTAGTCAATTTCCTGAACTAATTCATTCTCAGGAAATCAGCAGCACATTTGTGCACTCATTTAAAACACAATGAAGCAGTTGAGCATTAAATTCAGATGTTGACAGTGCTTCTCCACCGATCAATCAGTTCCTGTCTATGTTGCTAAATTAGAGCTGATAGTCTTTGAATACAGCAGCATTTGGATCCATGATGAATAGCATGCAGATTTATATTGTGTGTATTCACGTCGGTTCCATAGCAGTCAAATGACAGAATTGAGGCAGACTGGAATGGAACTGTTCAATGATACATAAAGTAACTGAATCGCGCACTAATCTAGTCTGCCTTTACAGGCTTTGGCCCAAGAGTTCTGGCATCAGCCCAGGACTTTTCTTGCCAACCAGACATGAATCAAATCAAGCCAACACAAATTTACCAGTCACTAACAAGATGACTAGAAAATATTTTAAATAGTGCAAACGTACAATTGATATTAGCTAATGATCTTAAAGGTACAGTTTTAATCCGAATTATGGCTTCAATGCTATTCCTCTGTACAGTTTCCCCTGAAAGACTTAATGAAAATCACTGATTTTCAGTTCTACCAATGCTGGTCTCATTTGCAATACAAGCAAAGCCTTCTTGCTTTACATCCAGTAATATACCTCAAATCAAATACTCAAATGGTCTTTAACATTTAAACAGGAGAAAGCTAGGAAAATATTTTTCCTTCTCTAAATATGGACAGCATTCTTACAAACATTAAACCAAAGCAGATCACTTAAATACACCATTTCCTTGTATTTTTTCTGTTGCAATTTGATTAATATTAACACAGTAACTTTTGATTTTGTAAAATTGAACTTTGCGACTCCATGTCAATTTTGTTTTAGGAGGACTTGTTTCTGGATCAACTTTAAAACCTGTTTTAACAAAATAAACAAAACAATGGACAGAAATGAAGTAAATACCTTGTCTCCCTCTGAGTAAATCTGACCCACAATTCAATTAATTTCAATTTAATTTCTGTCTTCTGTGTGAATGATCCTCTTCAAACCCAAATCTATAAACGTGACTCTCAATATCAAGTTAACAGCCATAGGCTCAGCTGCTCCTATAATATTGTTACATGGAGATTTTAAGCTTTTTTTCCCCCCTCTGTCAAATACTTGTTATCAACTTTAGCAAGGCAATATTTTGGATTATTACATCTATACATTGTGCTCCAATTTTGAATAAAATTTCTATACTCAATTTATATTACTCGAAATTTCAAGTATTTCCACATTTCCCAGACTAATACCTGGAGTAGGAGGGATGTCTTATGAGGAAAAGTTAGATAGCCTAAGCTGGTATCCACTGCAGTTTATTGGACTAAGAGGCAATTTGATTGAAAAATACAAGATCTTGAAGGGTCTTGACAGGTAGTAGTAGACAGGATGCTTCTTCTTATGGGATTTATTAGATTCCCCTTACACAGGATTGAGGTACTAGGCAGGTGTAGTTACAGCATGTCAAATGTGCAAGTGTTCTTTATGTATATTTATAACAGGAAAAAAGAAAGAAAAAGAACTTACATTTATGAACCTAAGATATCCTAAAGCAATTCATAGCAAATGAAGTGATACTTTTCATTTCTGCCATGTATACCTTGGTCTCACAAATGACTACTTTTGTAGTATAATTACATATCTGGACATTGGTTTGAAAGCTAAAATGGTGCTCACCTATTGTACTTGGCGGGTAAAGCGTCGCCCCCAGTGCAGATGTTCCTCACTCGACTGTTGGACAAATTTGCATTGGGATGTTGGCACACTTCCCAAGCTGAAGCAACTGCTGTGAAAGGTGGTACAAAGCTGAAAATGGGTCTCTGATTGCTACTGGTTTGCACTGATTCTGTACTGCATAGATAAATGGGTTCCTTGACAGGACCATGGGCTCCTGCTGCCTGATTGGCAGCTCTGCAGTAACCCCTGCTGACTTGCTCCTGTTTAATAACACCAGGAGTAACTAATTCAATGTAGCTCTCTTGCTCCTGCTTCACCTTCATGGGGGCAGTGGTTGTAACTGGCAAAGGGGCCCAGACATCCTCCTTTCTCTCAATACATCTACTTTCTGGAATTGGCCAAGAAGCAGCACATTCTTCAGTTGGCTGCAAATCCACCAGACTATCCTTAAGCGGGGCAGGTTCTGAGGACAAAGGGGACAGCAAACCCGAATCATCATCTCCACAAAAGGCAGTCAGGCTCCATGGACTGCCCTGTTGCTTTTCGTCTCTCGGTGATGGGAAGAACTCAAGATCAGGCAGAAAATCCACTGAGCCACCATCATCGAGGCCACCCAAGAGATCCTCTTCACAGCCACTTGGGTACAACCCCATATCTGTGTCACTCTTTGATCTATTCCCTACATCCTGCAATTCATTCAAAGCTGCAAGGCTCTGTTCCAACTCTGACAAGTCGCTAGCTGCTTGGGAAAAGGACTCTTGTTGTCCACTACCTCCATTTGTGATTCCAACTCCATCTAGTTGCTGCTTGTCACTTTTGTTGCCATCATGTGGCTGGAATTGCATCATGGGTGGCGTAGATGTCAGCATTTCACTGCCTTCCATGACACCTTCACAGTCTCTCAGACTGCCACTCCCTTCACTTAACCGAGAAACTACGTCCCAGATTTGTTTTCCTGGTTTCATGTTCTCATCCTCGACCAAATTTGCCATCACTGAGCTGGACTCTCACAGCATGACCTGCAGCAGAGAAGTGACATTTCAGGCAGACTGCTTAACATCACAAAAATAACCTGAGAAAATGAAATAAGCACCAGTTCTTAGAACCTTCAGAACACTTCAATCTTTCTCTAATCTGTTTCAAGCATACATGAAACTCAAGAGCACAATTCCATTCTACCTGTCGTGATCTGATTTATGAGGCACAGAATCGATTCTCTACTGCTTTAATTAAATGTTTTTCTCTGTGAACATGACTAAGTTGTTTGCAACTTTGACTTTTCTGCAGGTGCATCATTGTTAGGTCTACAATTCCCCAAAGGCACTGTTCCCGAGAGGGTCTGCTTCCTTATTTGCATGCTACCCGTGAGCTATATCATCCACATTCAGTCAATTTCTACATGTATACTCTACGCTATAATCAACTTCTAAACTTTCATTTCTCACAGCAATATTGCAGAAATGAAATCGAAGTACACATAATAAAGTTTGAATTACATCATAAACCACTGAACATCTCTTCCCAAGTGTTTTCTATCCTGTGAACAGCATGGTCCATCCACACAACATTCAAAATATACTGCGCTTTTACAAGTGGTACTCAGCAGTCAAAACAGAACAGGTGACTGGAATCATCTTGATTAGCTTACTAGGCTTACCATCTGTTATGAGGGTAGAATACTGGACTGAGCAGGCAATCACACTTAACGAACAAGCAATCCAGATGAAGACCTTAAAATCTTATTTATTTCGGGTATCTGCTCAATACCAACTTTTTGACTATAATGAAAACAAAGTGCTGGAGGAATTCAGGAGGTCTCGCAGAATTTGTGGTGAAACAAACAGAATAAACGAGTCCAGTGTGACTTATTTGTCTGCAGAGAAAAGCAGTATTGGACTCAAAACGTTAACTTATTTCTCTCTCTACAAATTCTGCCAGACCTGCCGAATTCTTCCAGCATTTTTCTTTTTGTTTCAGAATTTCAGCATCCACAGCACTGCTTTTAAGTTTTTAAACTGTTGAATTAATATTTCAGTGTGTTGTTCACTTGCAATTAGAAACAATGATGTAATTAATTTAGGCTACATTCTTCCTTAATTCTCTAGGATACCTGACTCCTCAGTTACAAAATAAAAACTATGCTTTGCTTCTATATTGTGTCTTACAATTTCATACCTTTCTGACAGTTTATTTAAACATTTACTTGTATATTGGATAATTGTAACATTTTTCTATCATCTACGCAAGTAGATTGCAACCTAATTCTTTTAAAATACTCACCCATACTTCCACTTTATCTATACTTGTAGTTTCCTTACTGATGCCTGTTTCACTGATTAAATTTCCATTTTCCATCGACATTTGCATTTTCTCAAGACATTTTTGTCCCTCCGGAAGTTACTTATTCTTTAAAAGGCAATTGGGACCAACAAACAAATGCAGATAAAACATTGTTTAAAAAGACTAGTCCTCCACAGAAGCACAAACCATTTTTAAACGAAGTCCACAAGAAATCTGCAATGAATTCTGTAAATTCAGTTTTAATTTAAACAATACGAATGAAAATATTGAAATGGCAAATTCTAAAATGAACAGAATAAAAAGGACCGATGCATTTTACATTAGTACCTTGCTGCGCAGGGCTTCAATTGCGGGTGAGAGATAGTAGGAACTGCAGATGCTGGAGAATGCTATGTTCATCCAGCTCTACACCTTGTTATCTTCAATTGCGGGTGTTCACTTTTGTTATTTGTGAAGGAATATGCATACTTTCTGTCCCAAAGATCGCATTCAAATCGCGCACCGTGCATATTTTGCCGAAAGACCAGGTTCATGCTCTGAACTGGGATCACAACAGAATTCGCTAAGCGATTTTGTATAGGCAATAATCCGGAAACATTGTCTACCGTATTAGGGAAATTTCAAAGGTTGGGGGAAATCCTCTAGCTCAAATGCTGCGAGCATGATTCCTGGTACCTGAAGCGCTAACAGAAACGCACACATTAAACGACAAGCGAAACGAGCACAGACATTGTCAAAGTAAGGCGCGATCTAAAAGTGCCTCAAGAAAACACGTCAGCACTCCAGCTGATCTGTCAGTCGGTGGGGACTGGTTAGCTCTGTGACCTGTCAATATAAACTTTTTCATTATTCTCCGAACTGCTATAGAACTTATTTAACCGGCATGTGAATCATCTGCCTACACGCTGTCGGTATCAGGTTTTGATCCACAATACTAGCAGGCACTGATGGGTGACGGGCTTGTCAGAGGAAAGTTTTTTTTTGGGGGGGGGGGGGGGGGAGAGAGAAAGAGGGGCGACGCCCACCAACCCTCGATCTCCATTGGATCGAGCTCCGGTGGGAGGCGGGCTCCAAGAGCCGATCGGTGTGAAAGTTGCAGTGTGTTTGTTTCTCCACCCTCTGCAACCAGCGCCCACCCAGCAGCCCCACCATCCGGGGGAAAGGGAGGGTAAATAGAAGACCGACCGGGCCCGGGCTATGACCAAGGCCGCTCCCACCTCAATGGGCTCCGGACGAAAGCGCACTCGCCTGCCAGCCGCTTCCCCTCACTTCATGAGGCCGCTCGGTCTCCGTGCTATCCGCTTCCCGCCTGCCCATTCGCTCCTTCGCTCGCCTGCCTTTCGTCCCCGATTCTAAAATGTCCGCTCAGCGACCGTTCAGCCGGGGACGCGGACGGGGATGAGACCGCCGCGCGGCCACGTAAGAGGTCGGCAAGCGCGTTCCCGGCACGCAGCCAATCACCGAGCACGTCTCGACGTCAGTCCCGTGACATTCACGCGTGAGCGGTCCTGGTTTAAAGCCGATTTACAACAGTAAATAAAATTTTAACACTAAAATGTCAGATAATTAAGCTAAAAGCAACAGACATTTGAAGTTCTGATTTCTCTGTGAATTTGGTAGCATAAGAGATGGTGAAATAATTAAAGTTGGACACCCCAAAATTGTGACATGTCAAGCTTTGCGCTGCGGCAACACCACTTTAAGGAATGTGTCTGCCCCGGGTTTCATCAAATATATTCGCAATGTTTAACTACCGACCACCCCGCCCCGTTTACTATAGTTTGAAGCAATTTGTTATAGGTTTTCTTTGCTGGATCACTATGTCTTCCAGTTTGGGGGGGGGATGGGGGCGTTTGCGAGACGTGTACGCCCAACAGCTTAATATTTTCAGAACACAAGATCGGGTCTCCGCCGAAAAGGAAACGGGAAGCGGGGAGAGAGAGAGAGCGGAGAAAACAGTTCCCTTCTCTTCGCAAACAAAAAAAAATCAAAATAAATAGTCTTGTCAATTACTCAATCTGATTGAGTTGAGGCCTCAACGTCCAAGTCACGTCGAGTAGCTCCGACCCCCTTCAGGAGGAAATGCCAACAACAATAAGATATCACTTTTTAAAAAAAAATTAAGATGCGAACCAAGCGGGTGCGTACAACAGTTTGGTGTCGGGTGAGCTGTCAACGCCGCCGTTTCTGATTTACTTCGCAACGTTTCGCGTGATAATGATTTCCAACTTACGTCTAGAAACATTCGGTGCTGCTATTCGCAATATAAAATCCTCAGCGAGGGCAATGTAAGAACCAGCAGTGTCTGAGAATGAATCCTTTGCCGCGGGATCCCGAAACGTCTTAGGCAGCAGGCGCTGTCTGAAGTTGTGTGGAAGAGTATCTCTCTCTGTGCATTCAGCCACCGAGCAGCCCCTGGACAGTAGGTGGAGCAATCAGCCAAATTTGCTGCAAATCATCTTGTAAATCTCACTGCAACATGTCACTTTCGAATCTCTTGAAAAAATAAAATTACGCTCTGCCCTCTTCACATTGTTGCACTTGCCCAACATTCAGAAACTCATCAGCACAATATTCTCTTTTTTTTTCAGGTTGCTGATGGATTATTGTGACCAGTCTGTCTCAACGTAAAAACGAGTTGCGTCAGAAAATGCGCTCATTTCCTTGCCTGTTGCTACTAGTCCCACGTTTAATTTGTCTTTCTGTCGATCTTTATAGGGGATGTGTCGCCTTCTCGCTCCTTTTCAACTCTCCTTGTTTGACTACGGTGCAAAAAAGAAACATCAATGACTACAAGGACCATTTGAGGGGCCTTCGGTGCCTATTTTAATTTCCCTTTCAACTCTCCCCGCTTGAACTAGCTGCTGGAGTCCTGCATCCCTTTACTGCACTTGTCAGTCATTTCAACCTTGAATTCAATGATCTCGATCCAATTCCCTTCGAGGCAGTTGACTTGAGATCAGAGGCACCATCACACCCAACGTCAACAAGTTGCTGTCTTAGCCTAGCCTTCTTGCGTTTCTAATTATTCCCTCAAAGAATCTTTATTTTTCAAATATCAGCTAAAACATCGACTTAGAATGGGTAAAGAAACTGATTTGCTTGTGTAATTTGTCCGTATCACTCCTTTGTGTATTCATGACAAAAATGGATGCTGGCCATTTGGCCCAGTCTATGTGTACTTTCCACATGCGCAAAACGTGCCTGTCAAGTTCCAACATAACCTTTACTTACCAACTTATTTTTAAATGTTAACATAATCTCTCGTATATCTCCATTGCACAGTATCACAAACCTCTGTTCCTCATTCCTTCTCCTATTATCTCATAGTTTCAACAATGGGACAAGTTTATTTCCATTTAACTGTTCCCATTTCTTTAATCAATTTCAACACCTCTACATCTCATGCCCTGATTCCATCTGTTCTAGAAAAGTTGGAAACATTTTGTAAAATTTTCTTTGTATTTCCTTCTACTGGGTAGCATGATAATAATTCTTACTGCTGTTGGCTGTGGCTTAGTAAGTAGCATATTTAACTGTGAATCAGCATTTGAGTATTGCTGCAAAAACTTGAGCATGAGATGTGGCACTCTGTTGCAGTGATAGAAGCTGCTGGACCGAGTTTGTGCCCATCTTTTAAGCGAAATATTTAAATGAGGTCTTCTGCCTTCACAAGTAGATGTAAAGTATTCCATTCCATTTCATTTGAGAACAAAGTAGTTCTCCCCAGTTTCTTGTCCAATATTAGTTATCGTCAGCATCACTGGAATTGAATACCTAACCGTGACCACATTGCTGCATATGGACCAGTGTGCAATTTAGCTGTTTTTACTTTAATTAAAGACTCTTCATACTCTCATTTCATTTAAACCTCCTTACTCATTCTTATTTCTATCATGTCCATAGGTTTCATGTGTTTTTTTTTCAATTATAATTTGTTTTTCACCTCTATTTATATATAGAATTGTGAAACATGCATTGTCTCCAATACAATGGTTTCGATATTTTCTAATGAACCTGTTTAGAGATGTTATATTTCATGGTCACTGCATCAAAGGTGCTGATCCACATGTACTTTATCCAGCTAGTCACAGCCAGCTGATTTGATTTTTTTGTCTGTTTAAACTGTGACTTTGAACATTAAAAATTCGGTTGCTGAGAAGAGTGTGAGTGAAGAAAAACATTTAGAAAGCATTTTGAGCAATTAGTTGGAACACAGTCGGTCAGGTTACACATTCAAACAACCTTTGTCACACAATGTAATATTCACAGAGTCACAAAAGTGTCATGATGCCAAAGAAGGCCTCTTGGCACATTGTGTCTATATGGGCTTGAAAAATGAGCACCATTACCTAGTGCCAATCTCCTGCTTTTTCCTCATACCTTACAAATTATTTTAATCCACTGCCCTCTTGAATGCCTCAATCAAACCAGCCTCCATCACACGTCTGGGCAGTTCATTGCAGACCCTAACTACTCGCTGAGTACCTACGTTACCCTTGCTTTATTTGCAGATCGTTTTAAATCCATACCGTCTTGTTCTCGTTCCTTTTACAGTTTCTCCCGATCTACTGTATCTAGCCCACTCATGATTTTGAAAGTATTTATCAGATCTTCTCTTAGCTTACTTCTCTCCATGGAGAACAGTTGCACCTTCTTCAACCTATCCTCATAAACTGAAGTTCCTTACCTCTGGAAACATTATGTAAACTGTTACTGCACTCTCCCTAATGTGTTCACATGCTTCCTATAAAGTGACACCTGGAGCTGTACACAGTACTCCAGGTGAGGTCTAACAAGTGTCTCATGCAAGTTCAACATCACCTCCTTGCCCTTATATTCTGATGTGCCTAATAATAAAGCTGAGGATTCTGTATGCTTTGTGAACTATTTTCTCTACCTGTCCTGTCACTTACAACGATCAATGCACATTTGCATTCAGGTCCATCTGCTCTTGCACCCATCTTAGAATTGTATTCCCTATTTTACATTGTATTTTAATGTTATTCTTATCAAAATTTATCACTTAACACTTCTCTGGATTGATCTGAAATTCTCTGAAATTCATCTGCGGCTTATCTGCCCAGACCACCAACTGGTCCATGTTCATCTGGAATTCTACACTAACCTTCTGACAGCTTACAATTCTTCCAAGTTTCATGTTATCTGCAAACTTTGAAAGTGCGAAAGTGCCTCCTGCACACCAAGATCTAAATCAATAATATACATCATGAAACACAAGGCTCCTAATACCAAGCACTACTGGAAATCATGTCTCACTGAATTGATTGAGTTTTTGGAAGAGGTGACAAAGAAGATTGATGAAAGCAGAGATGTAGATATTGTCTGTATGGACTTCAGTAAAGCATTTGACAAGGTTCCACATGGTGGACTGGTTAGTAAGGTTAGATCACGTGAGATCCAGGAGGAACTCGCCAATTGAACACAAAATTGGCTTGAAGGTAGGAGATGGAGGGTGGTGGTGGAGGGCTATTTTTCAGACTAGAGGCTTGTGACCAGCAGTTTGCCACAAGGATCAGTGCTGGGTCTACTGATTTTCATCACTTATATAAATGATTTGGATGTGAATATTGGAGGTATGGTTAGTAAGTTTGCAGATGACACCAAAATAGGTGGTGTAGTGGACAGTGAAGGAGATTATTTTAGAATACAACAGGACATTGATCAGATGGGCCAATGGGCTGAGGAATAGCAGATGGCATTTAATTTAGCTAAATGTGAGGCTTGCGTCTTGGTAAGGCAACACAGTTAATGATAGGGCCCTGCGGAGTGTTGCCAAACAAAGAGTCCTTTGGGATGTAGGTGCATAGATCCTTGAAAGTGAAGTTGCAGGTAGACAGGGTGATGAAGAAGGCATTTGGCAGACTTGCCTTCATAGAGATAAAAAACAGTACAGCACAGTACAGGCCCCTCGGCCCACGATGTTGTGCTGAACTTTTAACCTAATCCTAAGGTCTATCTAACCTCCACCCCAACCTTATACTATCATCCATATGCCTATCTAATAACCGCTTAAATGCCCCTAATGAGGCCGACCCCACTACCCTCTCCGGCAATGCATTCCACACCCCTACCACTGTCTGAGTAAAGAACCTACTTCTGATGTCTCCCCTATATCTACCTCCACTCACTTTAAAATTATGCCCCCTTGTAATAGCTACCTCCACCCTAGGAAAAAGTCTCTGGCTGTCTACTCTAGAGACTATGGCTCATTGGCCACAACATTAAGTACAGGAGTTGGATGTCATGTTGCAGCTGTACAGGACATTGGTGAGGTCACTTTTGGAATACTGCATACATTTCTGGTCACTCTGCTATACGAAGGATGTTGTTAAACTTGAGAGGGTGCAAAAAAGATTTACAAGGATGTTGCTGGGTCTGGAGCATTTGAGGCATAGGGAGAGGTTGAACAGGCTGGGGTTTTTTAACCTGGAACATTGGATACTGAGGGGTGAAGTTATAGAGGTTTATAAAATCATGAGGGGCATGGATGGGGTGAATAACCAAGGTCTTTTGCCTGGGATTCTGGGAGTCCAAAACAAGAGGGCAAAGGTTTAAAGTGAAAGGGATAGATTTAAAAAGGACCTGAAAGGTAATGTTTTCACACAGAGTGTGGTGCGTGAATGGAATGAGCTGCAGACAAAGTGGTGGAACTGGGTACAATTTCAACGTTTAAAAGGCATCTGGATGGGTATATGAATAGGAAGGGATAGAGGGATATGATTCAAATGTTGGCAAATGGGATTAGGTCAGATTGGGATGTCTGATAGGCAAGGAGGAATTAGACCGAAGAGTCTGCTTCCGTGCTGTTATGACTCCTTCCTTTTGCCTGAAAAATATCCATTAACCATTACTCTCTGTTTCCTAACACTCACCAGTTTTGTATCTACGTCCACATTTATTTTATGAGCTATAACTTTTTTCACTCATCTGTTGTATGGGACTATGTCAAACCCCTCCTGAATGTCCATGTATGCCACATGAACAGTGTAACCTTCATTGAGCCTTTTTGATACCTCTACAAAATTCTAGAAAGTCAGCTAAACGTGATTTCACCTTTAGAAATCCATGCTGACTCGTCCTAATCAACTCACCTTTTCCTTGTAACTCCCAATTGTACCCCGAATAATTGTCTCTTGAAGCTTCTCCACCATAGAAGTTAAACTGACTGGTCTGTAATTCCTGGCTTATCCTAACAACCTTTCTTGAACAAGGCCATAATGTTTGCAATTTTCCAGTCTTATGGCACTTATCCTGAGTGTAAGGAAAACTGTATGATTGTGGCCAGTTCCCATGCATTTTCCACTCTCATGTCCTTCAAAATCCTTGGATGCATCTCATTTGGTGCAGGTGCCTTTTTAACTCTGAAAATATTTACGATAGTGCCATAAACACTACTGTCAGAAAAGTACTGAGAGAAAGCGCTGTAAATATTTAAACTGAACTGCAGGAAAGTTTAAGTGAGTTAAAAGTCCTGAATAAAATTTTCATTACATGCTGCTCCCCTCCCTTACATAGATGTATTTAATTTGGTTGGTTTTAGTAATTAGATTAGAGGCATTAGGAGAATAACATGAAGGGACAAGGAACAAGTTCATTATAATGTCTTTTTGATCAGAT